GATTTTGTTGCCTGAAACTGTCTTAATTCTATGATCATATTTGACGGTTTGTCTCGCATGGAATTTTAAGTAGAACCATGATTTTCAAAGAATTTTGAAGGCATTGCTCTAGAGTCTCCTAGCTTCCAGTGCTGCTGTTGTGAAAGCTGGCAGAATTATGGTGACTGACCCTTAGTATAAGTGTTCTATGTGTTCTCTCTGGAAGCTTGGAGGATCATCTCTGTTTCTCCAGTTTTCTGGAATTTCATGCTGATGTGCCTTGAGGGGCCTCTTTATTCACCCATGTTCTGGGTACTTGGTGAGTGCTTTCAATATGAAGACTCAAGTCTTCCCCTTCTGGGAGATTTCTTGTATTATTTCTCTGGTGATTTCCTTCCTGTTTTTTTTTTTTTTCCTGTTCTTTTTTTCTGGAAGTCTTTTTTTTTGATATTGAATCTCCTGAATATATCTTCTAATTTTCTTAAATGCTCTCTCCTGTGTTGTCCCTGTCTTGGGCTTTGTTTTTGTTTCTACTTTCTGCAAGATTTCCTCAACCATGTCCAGATCTGGGATTGGGTAAGAAAAGTGAGGCTCAAGCCTTGGGTGCAAGATTTAAACAGGCACCAAAAAACTCAGCAATTCAAAAAAAAAGTAGTTAATGTAGTATTTTTAAAAAAATCAAATTTAATGTCACATCAGAGAGACAGAGAGACAAATGATAAGAGACTCAACTCTAGGAAACAGGGTTGCTGGAGGGGAGGGGGGTGGGGGGATGGGGTAACTGGGTAATGGGTATTAAGGTGGGCACTTGATAGAATGAGAACTGGGTGTTATATGCAACTGATGAATCACTAAACTCTACCTCTCTAACTAATAATACACTATATGTTAATTGATTTTAAATAAAAAAAATAGTTACCCCATATTGAACAAAATATAAATTTTTTTTTTTTTATTCATGAGAGACAGAGGGAGAGAGAGAGAGAGAAGCAGAGGGAGAAGGAGGCTCCCAAGGAGCAGGGAGTCCAATGCGGGACTTGATCCCAGGACCCTGGGATCATGACCTGAGCTGAAGGCAGACGCCCAACCATCTGAGCCACCCAGGCGCCCAAAATATAAAATTTTAAATAAACACAGGATCTGACCCTGCACTCGCATGACTCACCTCATTACCCTAATCCTGGCTGACCACATCATTTAACCTTGCCACTGCATTTTTAAAATTCTGCCCTTTATTTTTTAGATAGGGTAAAGGATAAAAATGGTTTTTATAGATAAAAAGAGTTAATTTTTCATCCTCTACTCCTTTCCAGTAGCCTCCTCTTCTTGTTTTAGGGATATATATCTTCTCTCATTTTTGTGATGGTATTATGTACATATTTACATTTTCCTTCTGTTCATCACATATTTTTTGTTTCCCCTGAATTTCTGCACCACTGTTTTTGGCTATCTTTTTAAAAAAATTATTATTGAAGTATAGTTGACATACAATGTTATATTAGTTTCAGGTGTACAACACAGTGATTCAGTGATTCTCCACATTACGCAATGTTCACCACAATAATTGTAGCTACCGACTGTCATCATACAATGTTATTACAATATTATTGACTATACTCCCTATGCTGTACTTTTCATCCCTATGACTTTATTTATTTTATAACTGGAAGTTTGTACCACATAATCCCCTTCACCTATTTTGCCCATCCCCCTATGTTCCTCTCCTCTGGCAACCACCAATTCTCTGTATTTATGAGTCTATTTCCATTTTCTGTCTGTTCATTTGTTTTGTTTCTTAGATTCCACATATAAATGAAGTCATATGGTATTTTCTTTCTCTGACTTATTTCACTTAGCATAATACCTTCTAGGTCCATCCATGTTGCTACAAATGGCAAGATTTCATTTTTTATGGCTAAGTAATATTCCATTGTGTGAGTGTGTGTGTGTGTGTGTGTGTGTGTGTGTTTGCACATGTGTGCCATTTTTGTCTCTGCCTGTCAGTTTGTTTCCTCAGTGTCTGGTGGTCAATGACTGTCTTCTGCAAATTTAAGAGTGATGCACTAAAAAGCTGATTGTAAGCTCTGGGCATCCTTGTTCACTGGGATGTTCCTTTGGGGGAATTTCTGATGCTCTGTATCTCCATGTATTTTCTTTTGGGCTGGTCAATTTTCAAGGAGAAGATTCTTTCATGTTCCTGAGTGGGAAGCACAAGTCTGTTTCCCATACTCTCATGGCTCAGAACAGGGAGGGGACAGCATGTATCACCCCTCTTTCTAGTACAGTGCTCCAGCTCTCAGCGGCCCAGTGCCCCCTAGTTTCCTGCCTCTTACACTGAACCTCTGGATTCTTCTGAGGAGAGGAAGGGGAGTTGCCTGGCTGAGTGAGGGGGTTCAGAAATCTAATTGCTTCTTTCTGCAGGTTTCAGTGAGTTCTGCTATTTTAAGTTCCATGTGTAGCCCCACATTCAAAGCTAGCTTGCTACCTCCAATTCCAGGGACTTTATGTAGTTTTGTGGAATGGATTAGTCTGTATTTAGTTTTCCCTCACTGCTGGCTCTTTTTAAAAAGTTTTATTTATTTTTAAATTATTCTTGTGTCTGATAAGTAATTTGCAGCTTGTCCAGTGGTTGTTCAGTTTTAATTTTACAAAGCTATTGTCAATCTGTGACTCTCAATCCTTAGGGGTTTTTATCTTTTTTTTTAAAGATTTTATTTATTTACTTGAGAGAGAGAGAAAGAGAATGAGCAGGGTAGAGGGGCAGAGGGAGAGGGAGTAGCAGACCCCCACCCCCGCTGAGCAGGGAGTCGGACGTCTTGGAGGCTCAATCCCAAGACCCCCTGATCATGACCTGAGCCAAAGGCCCATGCTTAACCAACTGAGCCACCCTGGCACTCCCTGGTTTTTATCTTTTTAAATTACTCTTTCCATCATTTTAGTGGACAATCAATAAGGAGCAATGTAAAAGTTATAATTTTTTATTTAAACAAGATGCAAGGGGAACTTCTTTACAAAACTGTCTACACTGTACATGTATATCAAGCTCAAATTGTCTGTATTAGAATACAGTGAACTCAAAATAGGATTTTGTTTTTTTCCAGATTGAATTTAGAAAGTTAGTTATTTTTTTAGATCAGCAGATAATGACAGTGAGGGGGAAAAGCACAATGCCAGCACTCCATAGCACAATTACTAGAAGTGGGTTAGGAGTGGGTTTTCTTTTTTTTTTTTTTTTTAAAGATTTATTTATTTATTTGAGAGAGTGAGAGAGAGAGAGAGAGAGAGAGTACATGAGAGGGGGGAGGGTTAGGGGGAGAAACAGGCTCCTCGCTGAGCCGGGAGCCCAATGTGGGACTCGATCCTGGGACTCCAGGGTCATGACCTGAGCCGAAGGCAGTCACTTAACCAACTGAGCCACCCAGGCGCCCCATGGAGTGGGTTTTCATCTGCCTCTCATCAAAGCCAGCTTTTGTATTCTTCCCTAGCACACTAAAAGAAAGAGGACATTCTTTACATTTGTTTAATGTTCTATCCATTTAACAAGCTCTTGTTATCATAGAGGACTTGAGGCACACAAGCGAAGTGCAATGAGGTTTGGAGAAGTTCAGTTTTTCCTCTATGTCATCAACAACATAAACTTATTCAAATTCCGATCTAGATAATTTTTCATGCTATTTTAAATATATTAGCTATTTCAATATTTTAGATATTGGGTTTGCCAAATACTGATTTTTTTTACAGATGTCTGTGATAATGATACTTATGTTTCTGGTGGCGTGGTCCCCTTATTCCATCGTGTGCTTATGGGCTTCTTTTGGTGACCCAAAGAAGATTCCTCCCTCAATGGCCATCATAGCTCCGCTATTTGCAAAATCTTCTACATTCTACAATCCCTGTATTTACGTGGTTGCTAACAGAAAGTAAGTAATGTTTAAAATGCTTTCAAATAAAAAACATGGATATAGAAAGAATGTTAAAAAGATTTTTGGGGAGGTAAGTGACAGAAACTCACTTCAAACTAGTGTAAAAATTATTTGGCTCATGCAACTGGAGAAGCATCTAGGCCTTTAAATGCCTAGAGCTCCAGCTCTGGGACAGCCTCTTCCCATATGGAGGGGAGATGATTACTGCAACCCAAGACCCAAGTTCTACCAGCTAAGCCCCCCCAAATTCGAGTGTCATCTCAGATGGCTTTCTGGCAGAAAACCTGCTGGAAGGTGGTTGGTGGGCTCAGCTTAGTTCTCATGGCTACCCCCCTTCCCAACACATGGAATTGATTTTCCAAAGAAAAGAGTGATTCTATTTTCAGAAAATGGACAAGGTGAGGAAGGCAATGTTGGGCTCCATAAGTGGGTGGTGTAGTTGTATATTTACTAGAAAGAAGATAATCAAATGCAAGAGAAAAACTCAATGCTAAAGTAAAAGAGCTTCAGGAGTGGATAGTCATTCAGGACAATAAAGAATACTTCCTTCTCCCTTTGAAGGGAGCTCAGCAAAGATTTCTGTCTCCTCAGTGAAGGCTAGATTATTTTACTTCTGTTACTGCTAAAAGATGGAATAACTAATTTATTGTCCTTAAGTATTTGATCAAAAAAAATCTCAGTAGAGGCCAGGTAATTTGATCCTGAAATGCAAACGTTTGTATTTATGCACATGTTTGGGAGAGCAGCTTTAGCTACAGATCAAACTTTTAAGACCAAACAGATCACATAAGAAGAATAAAGAACATATTTTAAATTCAGATTCTACTGGTAGTTCTTTTGAAAAGATTAGTCATTCTCAAGCTCCCTTTAATTTCAACTGGCCTTTGTTCAGAACAAATGTGTGAAATGCATATCCTTAGTTCAAGTAAATTGTAACTGACATTTGAAGTGTCATCTTAAACAGACATCATTATTGATTTTTATTAAATGTCTTCAATGTTTATAATCAATGGTGCAAAACTCGTCTTTAACTATACTTTATACCTTATACATTTATGAATGTTCTTAACAGGAGATGTTAAAGTTGGAGGCAAAAATTTATTTGGAGATGTCAGTTAGCAATAGAGGTGTCTTAGCCATATTCGAAAATGCTTTAAGAGTTCCAAGTCATTATAGGATAACGCCAGATTTCCCCTTTCTTACTATAGATTTCGGAAGGCAATGTTTGCCATGTTCAAATGTCAGACTCACCAAGCAATGCCCGTGATGAGTATTTTACCAATGGATATATCTCAAAATCCACTGGCTCCTGGAAGAAACTGAAATAAGAGAAAAAGTACACAGCATCAAAATATCTTATTTACTTTCCCCCCCAGTGGTTTAGTTTTATTTTAAATATGATCCTGGTTAGATCAGATGCAGACATAGATTATTGTCTTATTAGACCCTAAATTCCTCAAGTGTAGCTCCTGGTTCTTCCGTTTGAGGGATGGCTATTCTAGTGATTGCTTATTTCCTTTATGTAAACTTACTATTCATCTCCTTTGATGAATCTAGGCACATGAGATTAAGGCCCATTCTCTTTCTCCCAATCATGGCATTCATTACACTGTATCAGTGACCTCGAAACTTTCCTGGACTCTCCATTAGACTAGAAGTAGCCACTATTTTAATGTTAAAATAAATTAATAATAATAATAATAATAGTCATCAATAAGTAAATTACTGAAATGAGTTGTTGGATGTTCCTAGGTAGACGGAAAACATTTTTAGAATTTCACACTTTTAAAATTGTAATACAATTATTAACTTCTACTATTTGACAAAAATATTAAACACTATTGCTTCTAAGTCACATTAGTTGATGCACATACTTTATATAGCAATATAATCTCTCTGCATATTTTATGTATTCTGCATTTTTAATTAACATTTTTCTGTATATGTATTTCCATATATTTGCCACTGGAATTTAATCAATTTTTTTGTATATTTGTTCTCTTCTTCCTGTTTTGTTTGTCTGAAATTTGTTTTATTCTGGCAAGAGCACAACATGGATCTATCCTCTTAACCAGTTTTTAAGTGTACAGTACAGTATTGGTAAATATGTGTACAGCAGATCTGTAGAACATGTTGTCTTGCTTAACTGAAACTTCATGTCCATTGATAGCTGTATGCTTGTTCTTTGATGTATCCTTAGCAGGTAGATGCATTTTGCCTGGCACATAGTAGGCACTCAATAAAAAATTGTTGAATGTTGAATGCATTTGTAGACTCAATTATTTGTTGTTTTACATAACCATTGTTTAAATAGTGGACATTTAAAATCTGTGGTATTTTTTTTTAATTGAGCAAATTTTTCTGACTTCATTGTTTCTATATGCATCCTATCAATTTTAAATAACATTTTAAATAACATTTCCCATAATATTCTTATTTTTATAGCATTGACTTTCTTTTGAAAAGATTTTTGGCTTAAATTGTTATAGAACCACCCAATATAATAACAAGATTAAATTATGTGTGTGTGTGTGTGTGTGTGTGTGTGTGTGTTATTGGGCAGGACCATTCAGGAGGTACCTGATGTGCCCAGATATATATGTGTGTGTGCGTGTTTGTGTAAAACCTAAATCCTTGATTGTCAATTTTCAATTGTCAAGATTTTCCATCTTATATACATGGAGGTAGTTTTTAATGATTGAATTTAATTTTTATTTTCTGATAGAGCCTAATTTTGCTAAAAGACATGACAGTTGATTTTCAGATATGGCTTGATGCCTGTATTGAGAAACTAGTTGAGAATAAAATATATTCTTGAAGATAGATCATGGCCTTCATTATAAACTGCTGGGATAAGCCTTACACTGCTCTGAAGTGACCTGGGAGAGCTAGTCTTAGTCCTGCCACTTAGTGGTGGATTGAAGCATTTTGCCTAAAAAATCTAGGTACTAGATTTTTTTACTTTGTTTTTGGAGATCATAAATGCAAAAAATAAAATTTATGTTATAAATAATCTGCAGTATTTTCTAGCATCTGCTAAAAGATTGAATTATTTTTAACATTAAGTGTATCTTCAAGACATAGTAGCAATTACATCCATAGAAAAAGGACTTAATAGGCATTTCCTTGCAAATTTGGATATGGGCACATATTGAAATTTTCTTGACATGTGCTTCATTTTCATTTTCCTTAGAATGTGTTACTTTGCTGAAATCATATTCAAAGGCTAGGTCGATTAATCCCCTGTAAAATACACTTGAAGGTTAAGTAACTACAGCTCTCAGCTAATCCCACGTAATCTGCTGTTACTAAATGGCTGTTTGTATTCCTGGCACACCAGTTTCTGAAGCTTAGGATTTGGTTTTTACTTTTTGTTCAAATAACCTCTAGAAAGAGTGATGTGTCTCTCAGCATGTCTGTGCATTGTGCTTATTAGCTTTTTGGAGGGAGTGAGCTGTTTATGTCCTTCACAGTGCACCTGCGATTATCATGGCAGAAATGACGGCACGGGATCAAGGTACGCTCCTCTCCTTGCTACTAAGTGTTCTAATGATTGTAAGGAAAAGAACACCTAGACAGCCTTATTCTGAAAGCAAATTGTTGGCCAGGTATCAGAGGAGAGAAGGTTTAATTTACATAGCTTTAACTCCATTGTTTTAATACTGGTTGTCCACTTCATTGTTTTCATTTTGAGCAGCTTAGCTTTTAAAAGCCCCTCAAATTATTTGAGATTCTCAAACACATTCTGTATTGCAAAAATATCCATTGCACTTGTATTCACAACATGTCCCTGTCAGGAGGTCAAACCACTGAAATGAGTGTGGCCAGCTCAGTTTGTTTATAGAAAGAAAGCCTAGGAGGGAGGGCAGGTCAGGAGGTACTTGACGTGCCCAGATGATTTGCTTCCCTGATTTTCCATTTCATTTTGAGGGTTATTCATGCCAACTAGATAGATTTTAAAAAGCAGGAAGGAAGATCACAAGGGTGAAATCAGGTTCATAATTAAGATTTTTCATTTTAAAGTTTTGGAGTTTACAAAGAAAATTTGAAAGATACGGATCAATTCTGTCTGTTGCAGATACTGGGGGGCCTCACAGAAGTTAGTCAACCTCTGGGTTGCTTTAACATCTACCTGTGAATTGAGAATAATTACATACTTATATATATGTGAGTCCTTTGAGATAGAAGTTAAATGCAAAACAGGACTTTTGTTACCTAAACATGGTAGAACTTGATTTTTTTTTTTGGAGAGGATATTTATTTGAGAGGAGAGAGAGAGCAGGGGGTGGTGGGGGGAGGGCCAGGTGGGGAGAGGGAGAAGCAGGCTCCCCGCTGAGCAGGGAGCCCAGTGCGGGACTCAATCCCAGGACCCTGAGATCATGACCTGAGCCCAAGGCAGATGCTTAAGGACTGAGCCACCCAGGTGCCCCTGGAAAAGTGTATTTAATAACAAAATAAGATTATTTTGTGACTTGGCTGAAGTGAACAGTGAGCCTCTTACAGAAAATAATTTGTCAAAAGAATCGCCCAATTTATGTTTTACAACTTTAAACAAATAATAATTAAAACATATTTTTTAGTAGTTTGTCTTATTATTGTATGAACTTAACCAACTCATGGTATCTTTTTGAGATATTCACTAGGTGGTTTAAGACAAAGAGAACAATGTAACAAATTAAAGACCTACTTCATAAAGATATGAAGCAGTTAATGACTCAGGGCAGGGTACTTTTGAGGAAAGTCACAGAAATGTTTTTTTCTTGGTGATGGCCCCATTATTGATGGATTTTATAAAAACCGTAGTGTATTAGGACTCGCAAGGACTCTAGAAATAATCTAGTTCAACTGCTGTCATTTTATAGACAAAGAAACACAACCATACAGAGATTAAATGACTTGTCCAAGGTCACAGCACTGAGCTGATGCAGGGACTAGTTGATAAGGCCTTTCAGCTTCCTATGTAGGCTTTCTTCCATCACACTGGAATGCTGACCTAATGAGTAGAAACCAGATCATTCCTGTATAAAGTAGCAATGGAATTTGTAATACAGAATAGAGATGAAGAATAAGAGGTGTTCCCAGAGAATTTCAATGATTCCATAGAGCCATCTCCTAAAGTTACAGAAAGGAGATGACCCTGTCGTCAGTACACCCCAGCGTTATGCTATCTACCTCTCTTCACATTATATGCTGACTTTTGAAATTCACTGATCTAATGTCATGTGTTTTTACTGAATGGCTGTTTCATTGTTATTATGTACAAGTATAATGTATTTGTACATATAATGTATTTATACATTATACAATTTAGACTATGCTTTGCAAAATTTTTATTGTCTCTTTTCAGCAATCCAGTGGGGGTGAGTATATAATGATAAATAGGTCTTTTTTCAGGTTAAAATGAATCTAAATTCTCTGATTCTTCATCCTTCACACCCACAAATGGGACGGGCTTGTTTTTCTTTTTTTTTTTCTTTTTAAGATTTTATTTATTTATTTGACAGAGAGAGACACAGCGAGAGAGGGAACACAAGCAGGGGCAGTGGGAGAGGGAGAAGCAGGCCTCCCGCTGAGCAGGGAACCTGATGCGGGGCTTGATCCCAGGACTTGAGATCCTGACCTGAGCGGAAGGCAGTCGCTTAACCAACTGAACCACCCAGGTGCCCCGGGACGGGCTTGTTTTTCTATGCCTGTTTTACACGTGACACTAAACAAGATCACGATGTGACTTATTCAAGGTCACTTCAGTTAGTGAGTGGTAAAAGGAATAAACTCGCAGTTTCTGGTTTATTCCTTAGGCTGAAAGCAATGCGCCAGTCACATTATTAAAATAGAGTTCAACTTTAAGCATCTAGTGTGAACACTTGCTTTTTCTTTCTCCTTCCTCCCTCCCTCCCTTCCTTCCTTTTTAAAACCATCTTAAAAAGGATCAATTTATAACTTCAACGGGATTTTTTTTAAAAATAGGCCATTTCCTAAAGAGGTTGAGTGTGTATTTTGGAGTTGGACAGATGTGGGTTTGAAAGGCAGCTGTGTAACCTATTAGCTATGTGACCTTGGGCAGGTACCTCGTGTTGGTGGGCCTCAATTATTTTCTCTGTAAAAATGAGATTGATGATAAAAATAGCAGCCATTTAGTGCCTATTATGTGCCAGGAAGGTATAAAACTTTACATCCATTTCAATTAATTATCCTAACAGTGCTCTATGGGAAACTGAAGTTGAGGGACTGGTGAAGTGGCTTTTCATGGCCACAGAGGAAGTGGCAGAGCTTAGATCTGAACCAAGATCAGCCTGACTCCAGAGCCGGTGCCTTTACCCATTACCCAATATCTACCTTATAGGGCTGTTGATGATCAAATAAGGCAGATGTGGTATGTTGCACAGGCCTGACACATAAAGAGCTCCATCTGTATTAGGTTGAACCACCTGAAATTGCTTATATTTGATCATTTTTAACCTACAAAAATGGCCATTTCATATGGTTCAATCTAGAAGAAGATGATGAATTATGAATAGGTCAGTCAGGCTGAACGAATATTTTGTGAAACCAGTAAGAAATGAAAAAGTGATGCATGTTTCAGGTATTATTTTTTGACATGGGTCTTGGAAAGCAAGTTTCCTTCTGTTTGTCTTGTGACACTAGGTCGGTGCTATGCAATGACCTGGATATGAACGAGGTCCCTACAAACTTACCTGTGGACACTGTGAAGCTACGTCTAGAGAAGACTGTCATCCGCAGGATCCCTGCACAGGCCTTCTACTACCTGGTGGAGCTCCAGTACCTCTGGGTGACTTACAATTCTGTGGCCAGCCTTGATGTCAGCAGCTTTTACAACTTGAAGCAGTTGCGTGAGTTGCGCTTGGATGGAAATTCTCTGGCTGCCTTCCCTTGGGCATCTCTGCTGGACATGCCCCATCTGAGGACCCTGGATTTGCACAACAATAGAATAACTAGTGTGCCAAATGAGGTGGTCAGGTACCTGAAGAACCTTGCCTACTTGGATTTATCAAGCAACAGGCTAACCACACTACCACCAGATTTCCTGGAGAGCTGGTCCCACTTACTTACATCATCACAAAGCCTGGACCTTATACCACGAAGAATTATTCTTGGTAAGTTCAGAAGCCTCTGGGCTTCTCGGGTCCAGATAATTTGTTTTGCATGCCTTCAGTTGTCCAATCTTTTCATATGTATTGAATTTGGCTTCTTGCTCTCTACTTGCACTTTTGATGGGATGGCTCTTTATTTGGTTGACGTAGGTCAGCTGACCTGTTTACCCTGTGTAAAGTGTAATGGCTCTGTGTGTGTGCTGGAGTGAGGGCAGCAGTGCATGTGTTGGGGGAGGGAGAGGAGAGCGCCTCATAAACTGAGAGACTAATGCTGCTGTTAGCGAGCCTGGGCTGAGTGATAAAATCTACCAACCTGCCCTGATTCTGAGGGCACATCAGTGCTCCATGCTCTGCCACAGTCAACCTGCTCTGTTCTCTGTTCAGCCCTTCAGCAGGCTCTTCAGGAGTGGAAGAGGGGCACTGGCATCTTTATGAGGTGGCAGCGGATTTATTAGTTAGGGAGAATAGCTTCCAGATTTTCTTAATCTAAAAAGAAATGATGAAGACAATCTTCTAATGGATTAGTGTCGCTGTGATTTGTTTTGTAGACTTTGATCTTGACTTTGTTTAGGTTCTGTGGGTATTTGTCTTTGGTTCTTAAAGTATAAACTCCTTCCACTAAGTTTCTCTCTTCCTTTTTTTGTATCTTCCTACAGTGCTTTGCATGGCACTCTGCACATGGTGAATGCCCAGTAAATATGGTTGCAGATTGAAATCAATGAGCTGAGACCCTTCTCAGGGGTACCTGTGGGCAGTGAGGCCCCTCATACTTATATGTGAGACATAAGCCTAAGGCTCTGAGCAATCAATTTGATCTCCTACTAAATTCTTGTTCACCCAAATAAGGCTGTGTTGTCAGTTCACTCGTGATGTCCATCAGGGCCACGGAAGAGGTTGTATTTCACAGGATGAAAAGAACTGAGTGTTTGGCCAGTGAAATGACTTTTAAGCCTTTTGGTGTGAGAAGCAACTCGATGCTAAATTTGTGCCAGGAATCCCTATTGACCAATATCACATGCTCAAATATTTGCCAAAGTGAAGTATAAATAAATAAAGATAACTTGAATTTTTTTTTATAAAAAGGAAAATGCTGTGGCACCACTTAAATGATTTTAGCATTGCTTTGGTTGAAATGTAAATGCATTTTGGTGCTTATGAGACTAAAAGTATGAGTGATTAAAACCAAATAGAAAGAGGAAAAATCATGTATTTATTCTATACCTATTTTATGTTTGCCTACTGCCTATCTAGTGCTTCAGACATTTTTATTAGAGAATAAAAGAAGTATTGTAGGGTGAGTGGAAAAAACATTAATTTAACGATAGTTGTGGAGTACTTCTTATTATGTACACCATGATAGGCCCCATGTAAACCTATACTGTAGTATTTATTTACTTTATTTTAGCCACTAATTTAGTTCTTAGGACTAATAGCTGGAAATTGTCTTAATTTAAATATTGAGATTCTGTTTCTCTGCACATTTTTCTAAGTTTCTTTAGATTTACCAAGAGGGGATATATAGTAGAAAAAAAAAGTCAAATTACTGAATTGCTATTAATAGCTCTCTAATGATTAGTTGCCAGTATTGCTAGTATCACTATAAAGAATTGATTTGGAGGACATTAATATTAACTCATTTTTAATGAGTTAAATCTGGATGAAAAATTAGGGATGAAATGAAAAGGGTTATGAATTTCACTGTCTACGGAGATAAACAGCTTTATCTATGTTATAGGGTTCAGATTCTGCTTCAAAACCATTCTTTAAAGGGGTAACATGAAAATGCTTTTGGTATAACATTAAATTTAAAAAGCAGGGTGTGTAATTGTACACGATCATACTATTTTAAAATGTGCAAAGAAAAAAACTGAAAAATACACTAGCTGGTTGACTCTGGCTCTTTGGGTGATGGGACATCTTTTCAGTATTCTGTATTTTCAAAATGTTCTGCATTGATCATGCATTACTTTTATAATAATGATGATAATCATAATAAATAACAAAAGACATTTTGAAACATGACTAGTCCAATGTGGCAGCTGATCTTCGCAAGGCCATGCCTGCTATGTAATGAAAGGGAAAAAGACGTGCTCTCCTCTAAAAGATTAGCTCACTGTGAATCACACACAGAAAACTCAGTTTTCTCATCTGGAAAATGGAGGTAGGAGGACTCACTCCTTCTTGCTTATAGGATTGTAATGAGAATATTATGAGATAGTTTATGTGACAGTTCTTTAGAATATGAGGTGAACAGCCTCTAAGGTTATGATTTTAGATCAACAATAATCCATAGCAGCTGAGACTGGGATGGGAGTGTCTTATAAAGAGAGACTCCTCTATTTTAGCTTTTTCTGTTATTTTGCCTATATCTGAGTCTTCCAATTTCATCATTAAAATATGGTGATGAAAAATCTGTTCTAGCTTTTCTAGAATTCAGTGTTTAACTGTAGCAGTTATAACTTTCCAGGTGCCCTGGAGAATTTACTTTTCTATTATTATAGTGGAATATAGTCTGTTTTATTTGTTAGTGTCTTGTGTTTATTATTGTTAGCAGATGGAAGTTCTGTTTGTAACAACAATAGTAATAGCTAATATTAACGGAGCTCAGGGCCAAACCTAGTTCTTATACTTTATAGATACAACTTCCGGTCTCATGTTAACCCTGTGGTAAGTACCATTTCATCCCTATTTTATAGTAGAAGAATTGAGACACACGTTAAGCCACGTGTCCAAATGGACCCATCACACAGTGATGGAGCTGGGGTATGAATACAGGTGGTTTGGCTCCACAGCTCATGCTGTTCCCCATTCCTTTGTCATGCAAGGTATTGTATGTAATAATACCAGAGTTCTCTTCCTCATATATGCATTACTGATCTCTTTAAGTCATGTATTTATTTAAAAAAAAATTAGGAAGAGGCTTTTCCATTCCTCCTCTTTTCTACATGAGTAAAAATATCAACTTAATAAAACTGTCCTCTAATGTATCATACAGACATAAACTAGTGTCCTGCAAGTAAACATTTAAATGAACTGTGAAACTAGACTGGATTTTTTATTTGCAATACAGGTAAATTTCCATGGCCTCTTCCTCAGGGATACACAAAATATTTACACAGGCAGACTGTGTAAGGCCCAACTCTCTTTGTCTTGGAAAAAGCATGCAGGAGGAGAGGGCATAAAATGCTTTTTTGGGGGCTTTTTACTGGCACTCGAATTTGCTCAATTGCAAACATGAGTGCTTTTCCTGTTCAGAATAAAGTTTACCTGAAGGGCAGTAGCCCCACGAGTATTCCTACAAAATTTTTCTAAAATGGCGTTCATTTAATTCAAAAACACTCCTCAGTCCCTGTTGATATGCCTGTTCTTTTCGAGGCACAGAGGAGATAAATCCACATAGTTAACTCCTTGCCAGGTGCTCTTTTGGGGACTCCTTGGCAGTATCTCATCCTTCAGGACAATGCTGTAAAATGGGTCTGTGATTATTACCTGCTTTGCACAGCTGGTGAAGACAGAGTCAAGTTTCAAGTTCAGTCCATCTCCAGAGATATCACTCTTTTGTTTTTAAAGCCTTTTCTAAATTGAGGAGTTGAGGTATAATTTGCATACGTGGATCTTAAGTGTACAGCTTAGTAAATGATGATAAATGAAATACCCCCACAAAACCAAACCCTCATTAAGATATGGAATAATTTCATCACACTGGAAAGTTCCCCTGCTCCTCTTCTCAATCAGTGTCCTCCATTTCAAGCAACCATTGTTTTTATCTCATTGCAGTAGGTTAATTTTGTCTGCCCTAGAATTTTACGTAAATGGAATCATGTAATATGTCCCTTGTGCCTGGCTTCTTTCATTTAGCATTATTGTTTTTGAGATTCATCCGTGTCTTTACATGTATGGGTAGTTCCTTCTGCTGAATCATTTTCAGTTTTATGAATATATGAATTGTTCATCCGTTCTCCTGTTTTTGGACACATGGGCTATTACCAGTCTTTAGCTATTATGAATTAAGCTGCTATTAACATTCTTGTGCAAAGCTTTTTATAGCACATATTTTCATTTCTCTTGGATAAATTCCTAGTCTTCAAATTGCTAGGTCGCAGGATGGCTATATATCTTTTTAAGAAGCTGCCAATTTTCCAAAGATGTTGTACAATTGTATACTCCCACTAGTACTGTACAAGAGTCTACTTGCTCCATAGCCTTACCAACACTTGATGTTGTCAGATTTTTCTCATTTCAGCCATTCCTGGGGGTGATGGGTCAGGGAGTGATTTGACATTGTGATTTTAATTTGCATTTCCCTGAAGACTAATCGTGTTGACCATGCTTTCATTGGGTTATTGGTCACTGCTACATTCCTTTATGCCAATATATAATTTTTAAATTTTTTATTATTAAATACAAGCCTTTTGTTAGTTACATGTGTTATTGATATTTTCTCCAAATCTGTGATTTATTCATTTTCTTCATGGTATCTTTGGTAAGAAAGTTTTAAATTTTATTTTATTATTATTTTTTTAATTTTTCTTTTTTTTTATTTGACAGAGAGAGACACAGCGAGAGAAGGAACACAAGCAGGGGGAGTGGGAAAGGGAGAAGCAGGCTTCCTGCCGAGCAGGGAGCCTGATACAGGGCTCGATCCCAGGACCCTGGGATCATGACCTGAGCCAAAGGCAGACGCTTAACGACTGAGCCACCCAGGCGCCCTGAAAGCTTTAAATTTTAATGACATCTGATTTATCAGTTTTTTTCTTTTATAGTTAGTGCCTTGTGTGTCTCATCTAAGAAATATTTGCCTGCCTACAAGTCACAGAGATTCTATTTTCCTTATAGTTTTAACTTTTATATTCAATTTCTGGCTTTAATATTCTTAGCTTTTATGCTTATGACTGTGGTCCATCTCAAAACAGTTTTTGAGTATAGTGTGAGGTAGGGGTTGAGGTTTTTTCCATGCAGATGTCCAGTTGTTCCCCCACCATGTGTGGAAAAGACCTTACTTTCCCCCGATTTGTTAAATGCCACTGCCACCACAAAACTGACTAAGGCATGGTTTTTGCTTTCAAGAGCTTATAGTCTGCAGAATTACTTTTGTACAGAAATTTATTGCTGACTTTTCATAAAAAAATAGCACATTTAATTCAACTACTGTGATGCATGGAAAACATTATCCTTTTAGAGAAGGAATAAGGCAAAGTTGATTTGCCCCTATCCAAGAATAGTTAGATGAGCTAAATTAATTAGTGCAAATTACTGTGATTGTGGTTGGTATGTTGCCTTGAAGGAATGCAGTACAAATAACAGTTTAACTTCAGGGAGTTTTTGTACCTCTGTCCCCAAAAGGAAAACAAAACAAAACACTTGATGAAAGGGGTTCAACACTCAGGTCACTATTATTATTCAGGTTTTAAAAGTTGTGCCTTTGACCTTGATATTTCAAAGCTAGAATAAATATATTTGAGGATTTAAAAATATTTTCCTGTTTTATATAACTTTAAGACATAGCCAGTTGGATTTTTATTTTTATTTATTTATTTAATTATTTTATATATTTTTTCCCCAAAGATTTTCTTTTATTTGACTTTTTTTTTTTTTTTATTTGACAGAGAGAGACACAGTGAGAGAGGGAACACAAGCAGGGGGAGTGGGGGAGGGAGAAGCAGGCCTCCCGCTGAGCAGGGAGCCTGATGTGGGGCTCGATCCCAGGACCCCAGGATCATGACCTGAGCTGAAGGCAGACATTTAACAACTGAGCCACCCAGGTGCCCCGGGTTAATTTTTAAAAAGAATTTTGTTTCAGGGGCGCCTGGGTGGCTCAGTCAGTTAAGTGTCCGACTCTTGATTTCAGCTCAGGTCATGATATCAGGGTTGTAAGATGGAGCCCCCGCATTGGGCTCCATGCTCTCAGAGACTCTGCTTGAGATTCTCTCTCTCCCTCTCCCTTAGCCCCTCTCCCTGCTCACGTGTGCACGTGTGCTCTCTTCCTTTCAAATAAGTAAATAAATCTTTAAAAAATTTTTTCTTTCACCATTAACACATTTATGATAGTTTCAAAGCATGAATAAAACCGTTAATGTTACAGTTCTTGGATCTTTCCCTATGTAGACATTTGTGCTCCAGACATCACTGCTTTGACATGTATTTATAGATAATAGCACTTACAGCTGCCACCCATGGCTCTAGATGTTTTTAGGTGATGAAATGAGTTATGGTGGAAGGAATATTAGAAGATGCCATGAAACATCTGGGACTTAGGATTCTAAGCTACTTACAGAATCAAGGCAGTAATCTCTTTGTGCTTTAGTGTCCTCTGATGTGAAACTCAAAAGAATCATACTAACTTCCTGAGATCAGGTAAGACAGATAGAGCTTCAGAATGAAAGCTTTAAAATAAAAGCTTTAAATTGGTATTTAAAATACCAAGCTTCAAATCCTGACTGTATCCAGTTGTATGATCGCAGGCAGATCCCTTAACCTCTCTGAGTGTTGGCTTTCTCCTCTTTAAAATGAGGATGATACTAAAGTTATCTAGCTCAGCTATTGTCAGGATTGAGGTAGACAAATCCTTTAGCATGCTTAGCACTGTTGGAAGATAATTTTCCATGGCCTCTCACATTTCTGCAAGTCTTGTGAGCCAGAGGCCGTCACTGACTGTCTTTTGTCCTCAACTATCTTTTTAAGGATGTTTGTATACAGAACCGCTTTGGAAGGTAAAGGTATGTCTCCCTCCAGAGAAAGGGTAGGCATGTTTACTGCCCAGTATAATGAAGATAATGTTTTCCTCCAGAGCTGTAAACTGTCCTCCATCTCTTACCAGGACTCTGTGTCTTCTGCCAACTGGCAGGTTTTGGCCATCTAAAGTAGGATAAAACTCAGATCCTTTATAATTCCTGACGGAGTACAATATTTGCCACATAGAAAGCAATCAATAACTGTCAACTTGTTTTGTTATTATTTTATAAAGCAAAAATCTAGCATAACAAGTGTTTTGAGAGCATAACATTTATCCACATAGTAATTATTACATGACAGAATGAATTTGATGTTTGCTGGCAAGTTGGATATTAAAGACTGGTCACAGATTCACAGGACTAAATGTAAGAGGAAGAAAGAAGTTCAAGGTAATTCACCTATAAATGAAATTTCTAAGATAGAAGATAAAAAAAACAGTCAGTTTTTACCAATACTGGAAGAAAAATATGAACCAATCATGAAGTGCTATGATAAAAATAGACATAAATATAAACAAAAATAGATGTAAAAAAGAATTTACGAATGAATGTTTAAATCTTCCAACATGGTTAGCATTTTTTAGGTTCTGTCTTTTCTCCTTATTAATCCATATACAATCTACTCTGCTGGTAAAAAGCCACAACCACAAACCTTTTTGAGATAAAGCCCCTGCAGCCTTGGGCTTTATGTGAGGCTGCTGTGGGACATCATCACCCTTAACATCCTTAGAGACTTTTGTCTGCTAAAGGCTCTGAAGCACCGTCTTAGATCTTTCTGGGGTCTTGGCAAATAATTTTATAGTTTCACCCTCCCTGGATCTGATTTTTGCTCAGAAGGCCTTTCTTAGTTTGAGAACTTTGGAGAGGCCAGGAGTAAGAAGGAGGTTGTTTTTTTTTTTTTTTTTACTTTTTTTACTATGTTCAGTTTTATTATTGAACCCAGCAAGTTTCGGCTCCTTTCTCTTTAACAGTTCTTCCTTACCTGCTGTCTGTCCTTTCCCATTTTACCATAAGCAGCAAGAAGACGCCAGGTAGCACTCTCAGCACTTGGTGTGGAAATAGCGAGAACATTCGTTTCATTGAGTGCACTTTATACTTTCCATGTTAACCACAGGTGACAGTGTTTCCCAACTTTCTGCTACTCCATCAAAGGTCTCCTTTCCTCTAGTTTCCAACAGTTACATTGTCCTCACTTTCCTTGAAAGCTGTCACTGATGGTCCCCTTGAAGGCCAACGCACTTCTGCTAACAGTTCGAAAGCTGAGGGAGGCAGTCCTCCAATTGGAGGCTGTCAGCTAACTGTATTCCTTGCTGCTAAGTCTCTCTTGAAAGGGATTTGAGCAGTGCACCTTCTTGGCCACCACGTATGACATTCGTGCCAAGCTCTGTTCCTGTCTCTGCCCGTCTCCAGTCTTATCTCCTGACATTGCCTGCTTCTCACTCTATACTTCTGCTACACAGAACTTGTACTACCTTCATAGGTCTTCAAATCACACAAAACCATGACATAGTGTGGACTGAATTAGGTGCCTCTCTACACCCTCCAATATCTACAATAATATAAGTACTTTCCTAGCACCCTAGAAATATCTCTAGCCCTGTATTTCTAGGGTTCTGTGGTACTTGGATTAAAACCTTGGCTTGGATGCTGGTTAAGCTATATGGCCCTGCTCAAATCATTTGATTTCTCTGTACCTCAGCTTCTTCATTTTTAAAATGGGGATAGTAATCCTCTTCCTCATCTTTTGGGATTAAATGAAACAATACAGATAAGTGCTTAGAACAGAGCCTTGTCCAGAGTAAATGCTCAATAAATGTTGGCTATGATCATTAATGACCTGACCTGACAGGCTCTGTTCATTGAGGTAGCCAAATTGCAGGGCAAAACTGACAGGGAGGTGATTCGATTTCATCTCTCAAAGCACTTCTGTTTTTAGGGAGACAGTGCAGACCCTTGCTTGCCCAAGAGGCTGTGATGTAAACGGAAGTCAACAGAATAACCTTTATCAATCTTTTCCTCCCTCCTGGTTTAGGTCTGCAGGACAACCCTTGGTTCTGTGACTGTCACATTTCCAAAATGATCGAGCTGTCAAAAGTTGCTGACCCTGCTGTAGTGCTTCTCGATCCACTGATGATCTGTAGTGAGCCTGAGCACCTGACAGGGATTTTGTTTCAGCGGGCTGAGCTGGAGCAATGTGTGAAGCCGTCTGTTATGACCTCAGCCACCCAGATCACGTCTGCTCTGGGCAGTAATGTTCTGCTGAGGTGTGATGCTTCTGGCTACCCTACCCCACAGCTCACCTGGACCAGATCCAACAGCTCACCAGTTAATTATACAGGTATTTTCTTTTTTCCTGTCTTTAAAGATTTTATTTATTTATCTGAGAGAGAGACAGAGCATGGGCATGGGGAGGGGCAGAGGGTGAGGCAGAAGGAGAAGCAGACTCCCGCCAAGCAGGGAGCCCGATGCGGGACTTGATTCCAGGACCCTGAGATCATGGTGTGAGCTGAAGGCAGACTCTTAACCGACTGAGCCACCCAGGTGCCCCCAAAATTGGCTAGTTAATTCTAATAAAATATGCCAAGACTGTTGGGTGAAAGGAATTTGAAAGGTTCGTTTTATTGTTTAATATTTTCCTCAGTATATCTAACTACATAGATATTAGAAAATCTGATTTTTTTTTTTTTTAAATAGAAAACAACATGATCCAGTGGATGGATGATTGCAAGTAAGGCCCTTTGTCTTGCTGCATCATCTTGGATATGGCTCACTTTAAAATGCATAACTATTACAGTTTTCTTAGAAAAGATTTTCATACAGGTTTCTCATTTTTGAATGATCATTTAAATAATAAATTACATGCAAACCTTATCATGAAGCAAAAAGTATAATTTTTAGAAATATTGATTACATAGACTTTTTAGATCCTACTATGACCAACTCAATGTTTTGGTCTTAGTTTCAATAGTGATATTCTAATGAATTAAAGTGATATATTTTTAAAAACTCCTTAAAATTAAATGTAAATCAAAGTAAAAGTAATGAAACCTGATGGAATAAGAAATAGTTAAGCCCTAATATTCTTATAAGTAGACAGTAAATGGCCCACAGCTTATTGTAGTAAGTTAAATTCTGGGATACTAAGATACTGCTTAGCACATTATTATTCTACAGAAAGCTTCGGAAATCAAGACAGAATGGTAGTAAGTTAGATTTTAGTGTTTAGGAAAGTAAAATTCCAATTTTGCAAAAACTATATATTATTCTACAAATAAAAGGGTCCATGTTTTACTAATTTATCTAGATTAAATATAAAACGGAGGACTGAGAATACTAATTATGACTTCTCTATGCCAGAAAATGATCTGCTATGCCATCTGCTGTGTACGGATCGATAGCATTTTATTACAATGAAAAAATATTTGAGGAAATATTTAAGATCTTGTAAGAACCATTTTATGGGACCACAGTGAGTTAAAATTGGAGGGCATCCTTGAGATCACTTTGTCTTATCCCCTTATTTTAAAAGTACAGAAACAGAGGCCTAAAGACGCTGACTTGTCTGAAATTACATACTAATATGTGAACACACGTTTACTAAAACCAAGTCTCCCAATTGATACCCTTGTGTCTTTTTAAAATACCATTCTCCATATAGACCTCATTGTACTTGGCATGTCCCAGACCTTCAGGTAGACAATTTACAGAACTATCACCTTCCGTCAGAGACTGGTGATAGTGTGCCATTTCCCTCTTGGTTTATGTGAAAGGGATGCATGTGGAACCAGATCGGTTAGCGTGTTGCTTGAGTTTCTCCTTTTTTTCCCCCTCACAGAGTATATATATATTTTTTCTTACAGTAATTCAGGAATCTCCAGGGGAAGGAGTCAGATGGTCCATAATAAGCTTGACAGGCATTTCTTACAAGGATGCTGGGGATTACAAATGTAAGGCCAAAAATCTGGCTGGAATGTCAGAAGCTGTGGTTACTGTGACAGTGGTTGGTGTTGTCACGACCACCATATCATCAGATGCCTCTGAAAGAACTGGAGAGCACCCTGAGGAAGAAGTCCAGCCAGGAGCTAGAGCTACATCCATACCTGGTTCATTGTCATCTCCCTGGCCTTCTTCCTCCCCTGCTTCTTCCATTCTTCTTTCTACTTCTACTTCGTTTCCTCCCTCCACTGCTTTCTTCTCCTCATCTCCTTTCCTCTCCTCCATCGCTTCTTCAGCCACAACTCTAAGCACTAGAATTTCAACAAGCCCCACCATGGCCAGCCAGCAGTCACTCCAGCTCCACCCAGATGGGAAAAGAAATTTAAAGGTGGAGATGGGTGGAAGTCAGCTTCCCTCAGCCAGTGCAAGTAAAAAAGAAGAGCTGGCATCGGTGGATCAAGCGACGCCAATGGAAAAGAATGCCACGATAGAAAATCTCAGGGTAGTCGGTGAGACTGAAGAGAGTGTGACCTTGATGTGGAACACCATCAACACCACACGCAAGTCTGAGATGACAGTATGGTACTCCAAGTACGGTGAGAAGGACCTGCTGCTGCTGAGTTCAGACTCCAGCAAGAACCAAGTAACCATAGATGGCTTGGAGCCTGGTAGGCAATACACAGCATGTGTCTGTCTGAAAGGAATGCCTCCCCAGAAAGACCAATGTATCACCTTTTCTACTGACAGAGTTCGAGAAGAAGGTGATTCTCGAGTGTCTTTTGTTGTCGTGGTGAGCGGTACTGCCTGTGTCGTTGTCTTGCCATTGATTTTTTTCCTGTTGTACAAAGTTTGTAAACTGCAATGTAGGTCAGAATCCTTCTGGGAAGATGACCTGGCAAAAGAAACTTATATCCAATTTGAGACCCTGTCCCCCAGGTCTCAAAGTGTAGGGGAACTTTGGACGCGAAGGCATAGAGATGATTCAGAAAAACTGCTGCTTTGTTCTAGGTCAAGTGTGGAATCTCAGGTGACTTTTAAAAGTGAAGTTTCGAGGCCAGAGTATTATTGCTAAGGTTTCACAGCTTAGGTACATGTGAACTCCACAAAGTTCCTTCCATGCAATTAAGGATTTGAGGATGTAGTTGACCCTCTGACTGGATGACTTTTGTTCAGACTTTCACATCCTCTATGAAAATCACAAATGGAGTGCTTTTAATTGTGCTTAAAAAAAACTACCTTGTGAGGGGCACCTGGTTGGCTCAGTCAGTAGAGCCTGCAACTCTTGATCTCAGAGTAGTAAGTTCGAGCCCCACGTTGGGTGGAGAGATTACTTAAAAGCTACCGTGAGACTTCTGAACTGAAAAAACAGATAGTCTTGATTTTTGTTGTGTGGAAGATGTCCACAGAAATAATTTTTGGGGTAGTGCTTAATAAGTTAGTAGTCTGTTTTAGGGTATTGTTTTAGTTCTTAAAAATAAATTGATGTGAGAATTGTTGTAAAAAAGTGAAGTCTGAATTTTAAAAAGATAGTTTTTCTGGGACGTGAAGAAAGATTAGTATAACCAGCTAAGCCTTGATGTTCATCATGTTTGAAGTACTTTATGGTATCTGCTGTGGGTATTTACTGCCGTTGCCTAGTGGGCGAGAGTGAGAAAGGACAGAAATTTGCATTCACTAAGGTTAAGTCCAACCCAATGGAGAGGGAGGGCTCCAACTCTTGGTACCATTATGCATTACAGGACTGTACAGTTGTATTAATATTGTAAGAAAAATTTTTCCGTTAGCCTTAGAAATATAGGTATTAGCAAAAAGAAGTTTAAAAAGAGGATCATGAAAATAGTAAGGCCAATTCTAAAAATATTAACCATTGCATCCTCATACATTTGCTAATAGACTGTATGGATCTTTAAAAAAAAGTAAGTGCTCATTTTGAAACAGTCTCTTTAATATTGTGATATTGACTCTTCTCTTCCTCTCCTTTTCTCCTTCTCTCCCTCCGCCTTCCTTCCTTCATTTCGGTTTCCCCTTCTGCTTTGTCAGGAGATGTTCACGTAGCCAGAGGACCACAGCTAAGCTGTTTGTCTTTTGCCATGTTATATTTTCATTTCCTGGCTACAGGGAAGAACTTTGAAAGTCTTTTTTAGATCTGAAAAGGAGGTTTTAGGATTTTGAAGAGCAGTTTCAATTGATTAACTTGGTCAAATTTTCTAGGTAAAAAAACATGAGGGATATTGAACTAGAGTGGGGCACACAGATAGGAAAGGGGCTTCATACATAAAATTTAGGTTTTTTTAAAAAAAGTTTATCACCACCTTTACTAAAGACTATATTCTCTTTACACTGGAGACTTTGGAGTACAGAACATATTTATTAAGGTGTGTCAGGAATCTTGAAATACTCTGAGAAGCAAGTTCTAAGAAAATCCTGTATTTTGCATAAGCAATAGATTGGCTTTAATGTAACATATCATGGGTATTATAATACAAGGAACTGGACAATGAAAAATTGTTCATTCCAAATAGAATTAAATTAAAAAGGAAAAAGAATTCTGGTTTAGACATGCTCTGTATATTAGGAGGAGACCAGCATGGATGGAAGGCCTGTCCAAAATGCCCAAATGCCTAATTTCCTCTCCTTTCCTTCTCTTTCCTTTCCAGCCTGTTTGTCCTTGGTGCTTTCATCACTGAGTGCATTGTCTCATCATCTAACAGTTTTAAATTCAGTATGCATTGTTAAGATTTGTTAGAAAAATACCTTTTACAGACAGTTTCGTCTCTAGCTTCAAATTCCATTGGGATCAACTTATTTTAAATTAAAAGACTGCAAAAACTTGCACTTTTTTACTCTAAAAATATCATGGAATTCACTGCCATATTTAAAAGGTTCATACAGACTGCCAAAGTACTACCAGGTTAGAAATAATGACTACTGGAGAATGTTACGGACTACTGAGGCAAATGGCACCCAGATTGTACAAAGGAGGGTTACCTGTTAAGAAAGGAGACTTGGCCCACCCTGATCAGGTAAATTACTGACTGTCCTCATAACCAAAATGCTGGTGTGGAGGGGAGAAATCACCTCTGTCATCTTCAGCTTCATGGTCTTGGCCCATGAAGTGAGTCCTAAGTAATGTGTTACTAATAGTGAAAGAACTAAAATTGTAAGTCAGCTACTTTCTAAAAATACATACACTTGAGTGTAGTCAAATGATATCTGATGGTATCATTGCTCCTACGTTCTTACAGGTATGCTTTCCTGAGTGGGAGGAAAAGGTTGACGTAGCAAGTAGCATGAAAGTCTATGTAATCAAGAGCCTGTTTATCAGTGTCACTACCAGCATTGCAGAGAGCAATCAGAACTGACATATAGCCAGTTATGTGTATATGTGTATATGTATACATATGTATACATATACACACATATGTATATATATGACAATTAAATATGATTACAATGTTTTACTTTCAGACAAGGTACATTTGAGGTCTGTCTGTAAAACTTGGGTAAATGGTGAGGGTGTGTCACATGGGAGACTATCATAAATGATGTGCTATGATATAAAAAATGTTGAGAACTCCAAGCTCATGGTTTATGATGGCCACAAAAGAAAACCCTGGACTCTAGAGTCAGACAAGTGCCCTGGACGTTGGGAAACTTCCACAAAAGTTCAAAGACAAAAGAAATTTTTTTTTAAAGATTTTATTTATTTGACAGAGAGAGGGACAGCAAGAGAGGGAACACAAGCAGGGGGAGTGGGAGAGGGAGAAGCAGGCTTCCCGTGGAGCAGGGAGCCTGATGCAGGGCTCCATCCCAGGACCCTGGGATCATGACCTGAGCTGAAGGCAGACGCTTAACGACTGAGCCACCCAGGTGCCCCAAAGACAAAAAATTTTCAACCCACAGACTTGAGTCTCAAAAAGGGATTATGGCTAACAAAGGGAGATTTTAAAAACCCAAAAACTTTTAGCTGAATAATTGCAAAATATTTAAATAAAACAGGAGACAGCTCAGGAAAGTTGAATGGCTGTCTACTCATCTGAAAGTTTAAATAATATATGTAGAAGACATAAAGAAGGAAGAGTAATCAAGGATGAAGGTAGAGGTGCAGCAAATCTATTATGAAAGTGCCATAAACTAGAGCCCCCAGTAAACTGAAGATCAAAAATATGGTAAAGTTGACCAGAAGGAACTGGAAGGCTTTTCTGTTGTAGTTGTTAAAAAGAAAAAAGAAATAATAAGTCTACTGTTTAGAGATGATAAGAGAAAGTATATCAAAGAAGTAGCAGAATCATTCAACTCCTATTTTTTCTTCTCTTTTCTAAATGGGTTTTTCAACTGAATATGGAGAAGAAACGATGAAAAGTGAAAATTTTAGCCCAAGATGGGTAAGGGATTAGTAAATTAACTCCAGGATATTTTAAATGAGGCCAGATAAATTACCAGGATGGTAACAGAATTTTCAGCCATAATCTCAGAGCTACTGTTTAGTAGTCTTTGAAAAGTCATGGCAAATAGGAGAGATACCACAGATCATAAATGACTAACTTTCATCTTTATTTTTGAAGATTAGAATAGGGTAGGTTTTGGAAATTATGGGCACCTTGATTCATGCATGCAGAATTGACAACAGATTGTTAAAAGGCTTGTTTTTGAGCATGCAGAAATGAATGTTATGGTCATTAGCAGTCAACAAATGTCAACTAAGGAGAAGCTTTAATAAACCAGTACGGCTTATTTTTAAGGAGGTTACTAGGCAGATAGATCAAAGGACTGCTTGAAAATCAAATAGTAGCTAGCCCTTGTTATTTGTCCTTCCTTGGTGGAGTAATAAGGGTTGCTTCCTCTCAAAAATGTCTAGTAATGGCTTTAAATAACACGAGAAAGTGTTTGTTAGGGTGCCTTTCCCCTATTTAGCATTTTTATAAATGACTGGATGAACACAGACTTCTCAGCTCTGCAGAGGACATGAAAATAGACAGGATATCTTAAGTTGGTGCTTCTCAAACTTCTCCCCAGAATATTCCTAATGGAAAGGGAAACTAAACATGTACATCTGAGAAACCAGGGCAATTATCCTAAGTGGCTGCCAAAAGAGAGACATTTCTCTGAATTATTTTGTCTTAATTAAAAACTATGTGAATTTCCACTCTATTTCATATTTTTAAAAAAATATAATTCTCTAATCAACTTCTTTCTTTCCTTCCTTCCCCCCTTTCTTTTTCTTTCTTTTTTGTAAAAATGGCATCTCTGTGCCTTTGAATACTTTGGCACATATTCCCCTGAGATGCTCTGCTTATCTTCATCCAAGTCAACCATAAAAACCTTAAGTAGAATAGGGTAAAAAACAGAGAACTACGGCTCTCTATTAGAGGCTATTTCATGCTGAATAAAGCCATCAATAAATGCACTTATAGGATAGGTAAGGCACCAAATCTTGAAAAGGATCTTAATAAGATGGCATATTAACAGAATTAAATCTAACAGGGATAAATATAAAAATTTGCATTTAAACTGGCCCAAGTATGGGTGTTCAAGTGATAAAAAAAAAATCTGTGACTTGAGATGTTTAATTTAGATTTAGAATGATTCCAATCATTCTATGAACCAACAGAGTTATGTAATTGCTAAGTATGGTAGCATTAAATTACTTTAATATAAGTGGTAGACAGACCAAGAAAGGTAACAGTCCCTCTATGTTCTGCATTAATAAACCATTTTTACAAGAGCAAGTTTAATTTGGGTGCCAAATTTAATAGGGACCTTGATAAACTATGGAGCATCCATAGAAAGAAAACTAAGATCACCGAGCCTCTAGAAACTTTATCATGCAAGAAAGGGGTAAGAACCTAGAGCACATAGACTAGGAGGAGACCAGATGAGCTTAGTGCAGTACATGTTGTCCTGGAGCATGGTGCTGAGGAGCGTCTACATAGGTTGTCAAAATGGAGGTCACTGGGTTCCGCAGGTAGAAACTTGGATTCAGCAGCCTGGGGCCTTGGAAGCTGCATTCTGATACTCAACCCAGGGGAATGATACAGGTGAGGTGAAGACTCTGAGAAACACTGTTCTACGCAATGGATGTAGAAGCAGTATTCGAATTATAAAGAAG